GTTTGTGTGTAAGCGCCAACAGGGGCTCTGAGCTCTGGAACCACCAGGCAAGTCTCAGGAACTGTTAGAACCCTGTTCAGAAAGCCCCAAACCGTCCGGAACCGTTCCGAAAAATGCCGATCTGGGCTTCAAAGCTCGAAGGGCCGAGTAGGTCTGGAGATTGATGTCACGATTCATGAGGCCAGAAAACACAAGGACAGAAACCCTCTATTAAACAGACCACCAGCGCTTCCAATGAATCAGGCAGACTTGCAAAGGCACATCTCGCACACGGAACATTCCGGATCACCTACCTCACCCTGTCCCTGCAAATGCAGCCTTTTAAAAAACCCCAAAAACCCATCTGTGAAAGTTGGCACCCCAGGCTCCAAGCGATTTCTCGAGAAGAGGCCCCGAAGAACACGAGGACACCTGAGAGGACAGCGGGTCCCGGGAATGGGGCTGGGGGACGCAGGGCGCAGGGCACTCTAGAATACTTGAGGGGGACAGTGCACGGCAAGGCACTCTGCACGCATTCAAAAACTCGCGAAAACCCCCAAAACCCAGACCCTTCCCAAACCAAAAGACCCCGGCAGCCCTCTGAGGCTCGGTTCGGCAGTTCGGCACCGAAAAGGTCCAGGCCTGAGCAGTGGCAGTGAGATCAGTGAGATGGGAGAACAGTCAGGGACGAGGAGGAAGCGTAAGCAATCCTACCAGCATTCCGACAATTCAGAACAAATGTAACTTCGAGCAGACAAACCAGGGTCCAAGCGATCTCTCGAGAAGGGGCGAAGAACACGAAGACACCTGAGAGGACACCGGGTCCCGGGTATGGGGCTGGGCCAGGGGGCGCAGGGCACGCTAGAATACAGAAGGGGAATACAGGAGGGGGACAGTGCAAGGCAAGGCACTCCGCACGCACTCAAGCACTCGCAAAGACAAAAACCCAAAAAAAAACCCAGACCCTTCCAAAACCAAACAAAAACCCGGCAAACGCCCTGAGGCTCAGCACGGCCGGCGGCAGCGAAGAAGAACGGACCTGCTTTAGGGTTTGGGGTTCAGGTAGGCTCAAGGGCCAACGGTTTGGGGTTTCCATGGGTTTCGGGTTCAGGGTCTAGGGTTTGGGGCTCAAGGGTTCAGAGTCTAGGGTTTGGGGTTTGGGTTTAGGGTTAGGGTTTAATTGAGCAACTTCTGTAGCACCCCAATGGCAGCCACCCCGAAAACGGACACCCGAAACCTCAGCCCCGGAAACCCGAATCTATAAAATCTACAATCTCCAACCCTAAAGCCCAAACCCCAAAGCAGCCCAGCGAGGGTTCAGAGTTTGGGATTTCGGGTTCAGGGTTTGGGCCAACGATTTCGGTTTCGGGTTCAAGGTTCAGGGTTTGGGGATCAAGGGTCAAGGGTTCAGAGTTCCGGACTTACACAGAGCTCCCCAAAAATTGTGTGAGTCACATTGATGCATCCCATTCACATTCACGGCAACCTGTAGCAAATCGGATTTTCAAAGGGAGCACCACTGGGATGAGCCATCGTCGTGAAGAAACAAAAATCCTCGCTTTGTAGCCGCGACCTGCCGCACGCCAAGACCATCGGGCAGCTCTATCTGGTCCTGGTCCATGGCCCCCCAGATGACAACCCGGCCGTCGTCTTTTATCGCAACAAATGCGACGTCGTTGGCCTGGATCTTCTGCACATTTCTCAGCTGGTCCTGCACATCCGTGCTGTTGCCACCCAGTTGGGGAGAGCCCCAGGTTACGACAGATCCATCGGCACGAAGAGCAGCGCAAGCACTACCGTTGGCCTGAACCTGAATCACGTTGCGCAGCTGCGGCTGGACAAGCGTGGTATCGCCACCGCAGGAATCATCGCCCCAGGTAACCACGGAGCCATTGCCCAAGATTGCAATGAAAGCGCCGAAACTTTGTTGGATGTGCTGAACATTCCTCAGCTCCTGTTGCACTTCTGTGCTGTCGCCGCCATAATCAGCGATACCCCAGGTGACAACAGTCCCGTCGGCAAGGATGGCAGCAAAAGCGTATGCAGAGGCTTGGATGCGTTGCACACCGCGCAAGCGGTGTGCAACAGCACTGCTGTCGCCACCGGATTCGGCGACACCCCAGGTGACAACAGTTCCATCTGCGAGGATCGCAGCAAAAGCATCGAGAGTGGCTTGTATATGATGCACATTCCTCAGCCGATGCTGCACTGCACGGCAGTCGCCTCCAAGATCACGGTCCCCCCAGGTAACCACGGAGCCATCGGCAAGTATTGCAGCAAACGCTGCATCGCTGCCCTGGATGCGCTCCACAGCCAGAAGACGCTGAAGCGGCGCCTCACCGCCAGCACGAGCCATTCCCCAGGCCACGACCGAGCCATCAAAAAGGATAGCAGCAAACGCCGCTCCTGTGGATTGGACATCACGCACGTTCCTCAGTCGATGCTGTACTGCACTACAGTCGCCTGCGCGCTCAGCATCCCCCCATGTCACCACGGTAAAGTCTCCAAGAATGGCAGCAAAAGCTGCGCCGGTTGCTGCCACGGCCAAAACATCATTCAGCCTCTGTTCTACAGCGGAGCAGTCACCACCACAGTCAGCATCACCACAGGTCGAGACGGAACCATCGGGTGTGACTACAGCCACAGCGCTTGCGTTCGCGTTGCACTGCGCAGCGCCCATACCTACTTATCGGGATTATCATCGGGTATCATGAGGAACGAAAGGTTATATAATCTTTTTGGTTGTATAGGGATTATATAGACATCTCGAACCCAGATTAAACACAAGACCGATCTTGCAGTGTGACTGCTCAAAGGTGCTTTGGAATTGGAGCTATATTGCAAAATCTCAGGAACTATCGGCGCATTCGCATTCTTGGGAACTATATGCAACAGTGTCAGCTGATGTATGTGCTCGGCTGCGTCTGGGATGCAATGACATGCCTACGGGCCTAGCCTGCTGAGCAGCAACCTCGCGGGTGGGGGGTACGGGGGGGGGCGGGAGTTGGGGAGATTGGGTTGCGGGGGTCTCGGGTTTGGGGCCTGGGATATTTTTTTTTGGGGGGAAAGGTGCTACAAAAAATATCCTAGGCCGGGACGGTGGTTGAGAGATGCAACGCACTCGCAGAGCAGCTGGGGTCCAAATGACGGTCCAAACCGAGGGCCGAAGCGGGTAGAGTGCCCTGAGTGCCCTGAACCGAAAAGAAACCCCGCTGACACACTTCAAAACCCGCCAAAGAGATCCCGATATCCGAAATTCGGGTTCTGATGGGCACTGCAGGAAGGACACAAACCCCATTCAAAACAAGCCAGAAGCTACTATAATGCACCCGACACACGGCCTACGGCTTACGTTAAAACTTCCAACTACAAGCCGAACCCCGCCACCTCTCAACGCGAGGAAAACGAAGCAGTCGAGCCAGTCGAGCCATCGCAAGACCTGAGAGGAGGGTTTATATATAGGGTTTAGAGTTTAGGGTTTAAGATTTCAGCACTCACGCTTGGGTTTTAGGGATTAGTTTAGGGTTCCCACAGTCCAAGCGTCGTAACTCCGAATCCGAACCCCGTCTAGAAATTCCTGAACCGGAACCCTAATGCTAGGGCCCGGGCCCTGGCATCTGAGACGACTGGAAAGAGTCGGCTGGCTTAGGCTTTCACGGCTTTGACTGCACGAATGATGGTGTGTGATACGGCCGAAAAATTGCCCGCATGTTGCAATGGATTTCGGCTGGAGAGGCGGCAGTGGCACCGAAAGGTCAAAGATAGCGTCAGCCGTCAGCAGTGAGAATCTGTTGCCATGCCCAGTCACCGTTCAATTCAAAGCAACCAGAACCTCCACCCCGAAAGCCAGAAGTCCAAAACACCAAGAGTCTTGACCTCCAGCTGCAACCGCCGTGCCGGCCGGCAACCCGCAGCCCCAAGCAATCCCCGCCAAATCAACTCCATGTCGTTAAATTAAGGTGGCCTCGTCTGGCGTCCCATTCATGAACACGCAACCAGCGCATTGCATGAGGGCATCGTGTGCACTCGTCAGCTGCCGCACATGATTTTCCATGCTCAACAAAAGGCCAACAGGCTAACATTGAACATAGAAATATAAGTTCAAGACTTCAAGCCGGTGTCACTACAGCCACTACGCCACTACGACACGGCCACGGCTGAAAGTCTCTAAGCTTGCAGCGCTGACAACTGTTGTGGATTTCCAATGTTACAGTTACGGCATGTAATGTCACATGACATGTCCCATGGTCCCCTCCTATTTGGCTGCAGGCGGGAAGGGCGGCAAAAGTATATGATGTGTGTTTTGTCCTAGACAGAAATTGCCTGTCGCCACTGTCGCCATGTCAAATTCCATGGACCATGTTTCGCACACACACACACACCTAAACCGGCACTGGCGTCATGTTCAGCCGTCTGATTCTCCTCCTTTAAGAGAACGACAGTCCCAGCTGCATCTAGGCACGAAACATATCTTCTGTGTGCATAGCATGCCACTCCGCAAAGACATCTTCCACAACTGACCTGTGCCACTCCGTGGCATAAGCGACAGACTGCATGGTGATGAGAGATTGCATGCACGCGGCATCAGTCAGGGGACTAGCTGGCAACACCTCGTCCACTATTGCATAGTCAACACCTTGCCGGCGTGCTTCACGTCACGAAACGCAACAGTATATGGCCTACAGATACGTAGCAATGCTTACCGCAGACAAGCTACGAGCCCGGCGTCGTCGAGCTTCCGGACCCCTTACTTCCCCAGCAGAAGCTTCCGTACCCTCCAAGGCCAGCTGCGCGTGCTCCACGGTGCTATGTACTGCCGCGCCATGGAACTTTTGCTGAAGCCATGTAAGCCAGCGCAGGAGTGTGTCGTAGAGCCATCGCAAAAACATGAGCATCATGAGCAACAAATCCGCTCCCCCGGAACTTGGTGGTTTCAAACCCTCGGTGGCTTCAGTGTTGTGTTGGGTGATCGCAGGCAAAACAACACATCATGTTTAAAACCGTCGCCGTGTGAGTTGCTGTCAGCCAACAAGCGACGAGAACAACAATTTGGGACAACCGGACACCCTTAGTTCCCGAGGGCCGCTTTGATCCCCGTGAATTAAGAAACTTAGCAGCTTGGACACCCATGCAAGAGGAAAGAAGGTGTTGGGACCTTTCAGGACTAAGAAGCCACCACTAGTGGACTTAGCATCGTCCCTTTCCCCTGCAAAGTCAGCATCGACGTAGAGCGCAAGATGCAGCTCCCTTGGCCCGTCCGACACAGCGCCTACAAGGCGGTGGGTCTTAGTGGAATCGATGTAGCTTATCAGGCGAAGAAGCTTTTTATCATCGTTCCTCGACCACTTTTGTACCTTGGTCGCGAGGTCACCTATCGGCTTGACTAAGTCAGGACGTGCAAGTCTGCCTAGCCAAAGGGCCTTCATTAACACCTTAATTACATGCATTAGGAGCAAGCTCCCCAGCGATCTCCTCCTGGCTCACGGGAAGTGAAGCCTCTGGAGCAAAGGGAGTGGCAGCGTGTTTTAGAGCCTTAAGGCCAGTGAGGCCCTTGTAAAGGTCTACGGTCTGTTGCGTGTAGTCAAACATATCAAACGCCATGGCACCCTTTAATGCGCCTAGGGCAGCATTCTCGGTGCCTTCTGGCTCGGCGTTGATAGTGCAATGATTGCGACCTAAGATCCGATACACAGGCTCTGGTGGTTCTACATCAACAACCTTACATAAAGCATCCCAAAAGGGTTGGTGCTCCTCCTGTGGTCCAGAGAGGGTAAGATCATCAACGTAAGTGGAAAGAAGGAGCTTAGTTTCAGGGAACCAAAAGTTACCTGGATATTCCGGCAGTTCTTGTCCACCCATACTCTTGAGAACCCCTTTAAGGTGTTTCTCCCAAAGTCCGCCCGCTTCTGGGTGGCCGTACAGTGCGCGTAAAAGCAGCACTACTGGCTTTGCAAAACACTCACGCCACCAAGCAGGACGAAGTTCAGGCGGTAGCTCTATCCATGTTTGGTACTTGGATTTAAGAAGAGCTTGCACATACGCTTTGACGGCGTCTGCGGCACTAGACTGATGGCCAGGTAAGCTACCGTAAGCTAAACAGGCATTAAGTCCCTGAACAGAGGTGGGGTTTGCACCTAACTCTCTGTAAACCGCTGCGGCGCCCTCCTCGTCCTTCGCACAGTCACCTCGGTACACGATTCGGCCTTTAACCTTCTGAAGGTGCTTGGCAAGTTCCCAAAACTTGATGGATGCAATGCTCATCAGCTTGCCGAAGTGTACCTTAGTGCCTGTGCGGCGCGCTTGCGCTTGGACGCTAGCGTATTCCTGCGGGTTCGTTTCGTCCCACACAGGAACTGCACGAAGACCGTCTGCTTCCTGTTTCACCGCATTGAGGGCCTCAGGTGAGGAGAGCATTTCGGCCCGAGAGAGAAGTTTCGTCACCATTGCAGACACTTCCTTTGAGGGTGCTTCCTTAGGTATGCTATGGACTGCACACATAAGGGCGGAAAGGTCGACGACTTCTTCTACAAGCTTAGAGGCTTCCTGGTCGGACTCTATTACGGCGGCAAGGTCCTCGTATCCACTGAGAGCGGAAACGTGCTTCAGTTCCTGTTCCTTTTCGCGGTGTTCAGTAGTTGTGGAAGTGGGTAAGATCGGCATCGCAGGAACCGAGATATAGGCCCTACTGGGGTTGATGGCAAAGGCGATGCGCTCGCACATCTCTTGCGTGTACAACCCAGTGAGTTCAAGATCCTTTCCCCGAGCCTCAACGTGCTCACTGGGATCATGGTTGCAGGTAATCCCTTCAAAGGCTGATACGATAGATGCGGATGTTGTCATGAGGCGCCATGGTTTCTTAACCGGCTGCCCCCCTGAAGCAGACACACCTAACATACAACCATCAAAGTCAACAACCTTAAACCTAGGGTCCTTAAAGAACTCCTTTACATCAGGCCTCTTCCATGAATCGGAATATCTCGGCCACTCAAACGTGACGTCAATCCCGAGGTCAAGCGCGGTCTTAGCATGCTCAGCAAACTGTGCGAACAACTTCTTAGACCTATGAATCTTTTGCAGGAGTCGTGCGCGATACTCGCCGCCACCTCTCTTAAGCTGAACGCGATGCCACTGGCATCCAGAGGTGCACGGCAGAGACACCCAGAGGCGACTCTTAGGACACGCACTGAACTGTTCGTGCAGTTGGGCAGCCACAAGTTCGTTCTCAACGTCCAAAGTTTCTTTGGCGAGGCGTACATGGGGTACTCCAAGCTCCTCGTTCACGCGCCCTACATTTAGTTTGGGGAACATGCGTACTCAAAGACGGTTGTGAGCTTAGTGGGCTTCCCTCTCCTTCGACTCCGCTTGTTACCTCTCTTTTGTGGTTTGTCCTCCCCGATAGAGGGTGCAGCTAAACCAAACACAGGTAAGTTCTCCTTTCCACGCACAGTGTCTAGGAGACACGTGGCACTGGCAGTGCACGGTGGCAAAGCAGCGCCTGCAGAAACAACGCTCACTGTAGCGGAAGCTGGAGGTACTGGAGTACTGGGTGCAACGCTTGGAGCAGGAGTTTCGGGAGCAGTGCTTGGAAAAGGGGTTTCCGGAGCAACGCTAGGCGCGGGGGTCTCTGGTGACTCACCCAGGGCGCGAAGCGCAGCCCTCCTTGCAGCAGCTTCTTCCTTGTCTGCTTTAACAAGCTCGGCAAAGCGTGCCCTGCAAGTGTCGGTGTGCTTTGTGGCCTTTCCCCTACACGCTAAGCAACCCGGCGTCTCCCCGAACTTAACAATCCTATCGGCGGTGATATAAACCGTCCTAACGCCAGGTGTTCTGGGCGCCGGCGGCCCGATGCTTTCAAGAGCAAAGGGAATCTCCCGCAATGGGATCTCGGGGAGTGCGCCGGAGGCAGCACTCAAGGTGGAGCCGTCTACTAGCGCCTTACGGGTTGCATTCGCGACTGGGAAGATGGGCGGACCGTCCTCTATGTACAACTCAGGTTCTGGCACGTCGTGGACAGACGTGTTGCGTTTACCACGAAAGTCGTTGTAGTCTAGAACCTTAACAACATTGCGATAGCGCATGCCTGCGTCTATCCGCCACCCTAGGAAAAGACCTGGTGACATGTTGGGTTCAAGAGTGCGCTTAGAACCTTTAGAGCGGTACCAGACAAGTTGCCCAAAACAGGCCCTCTTCCCACTGAAGGGCTCCTTTGTGAGGGCCTCCCACTGCGTGACCCCCCCTAGCGGTGCCGTCCTGTCAAAGGACAAGGAAAGGCACGCGTACGGGTACGAGTAAGAATGCATGTCGTAAGGAAGTCCACTCTGGAGGTGGATAGCACGGCAGCATTCCTTTTCCTCGCGGATATCCCTCTCGAGTAAGGCGTTGTGGGGCCATCTGTTAGGGAGAGAGGGTTCCGGGGTCAGGCCTACCTCCTCCGCCGCTACGATCAACTCGCCAGCTTCATCTAGTTTAATGAGGCAGGTCGGCGACATCTCGTTTGCCCTTAGACCTATAAAATGCCGGAAGTTGCGTGCATGCTGGGGAGCACCCCTACGCGTCATAGGGTACGCAACTCTAGCCCCTGAGAAAACATCCCTTACTACATGATGTGACTTAACCCCTCCGGTTCCTATGCCTCGGTGTTCATCACCTTTTGCCATGATGACATCATCAGTGGCAAGCTGTTGGAACGGAGCAGGGGGGACATCAATCATGTCATCTGCCTTGGCATCGGGCTTATGAGCCACACGCATTGAGGTGGTCTTGGCGATGTGACAGATCTTACAGAAGGGATTCTTAGGAAAGTGGGTCCTAAGATGCTTCTCAGAAGTGGCTTCGGCTCTAAGTTCTTCGGTCTTAGAGTAGGGCTCTGGAGGAGGCGGCAACGGTGGTGGTTGCTCTGTGGAAGGGGCGCTTGGAGCAGCCCCCTCACGCGAACTAGAGGCGCCTGAGGCAGCCTCCTTGGCGGCTGTGCCTTCGGCAGGCTGTTGCGTGCTTGCGGGCTTTCCCTTGAAGAGTTCAGGAAAGGGCTCTTCTTCGGAGCTCTCACTGGCAGCTGTCTCACCTACAGCGCCTTCGCGAAAAAGCCGCTTTGCTTCAGCCTTCTTCTCTGCATGCTTCTCGACGACGTCGGCTTCCCAATCATAATCGCCAGAGGTTGTGCGAGGATAGCTTGCTTCAGCCTCTTCACAGTATCATCTTCCTGCGGCGCAGGGGATGCCGATGCAGTAATGGGACTTAGGCTTGGGCTCTGTTCCCTTACTGCCGGTCGCAATGTCTCCTCGAACTGAGGGACATATTCCACGACCCTGGTCGCATTGATCCTCGCTTTGCGCGGGATACGAAGCTTGCAGCGGTGCACGTCTTCTTTCTTCACAAAGTACGGACGGTGTTCTCGAGGGTCCCAGACAAACAAGGATCCCTCGTCAAGGACAGCTTTACCTACAGAAAAGGCTGGTGGACACTCCTTAAGTACGTAGACCTGCTCTTCTGAAGGTAACAACCGGCTGCCCTCAAACGCGAGGCTGTGAGTGCCTTCACGCGCGCCGCCACCAGTGGCAAAACCAACAGGTGTCTCGGAGCGGGTGACACAGGAAAGGGCCTTGGAGGAAAGCGCCTGGCGACCTATCAAGTGCCTACCTGCTGCCGTGTCCCAAAGCCAGGTGATCTTGCCATCCTGATTCAGCTCGGCGGGAAGAGCATTGATTAAAGGTGCCGTTGCAGCGCTCGCCTTCGCCTTTGCCTTAGGCTTAGCCTTAGCGTCTGGCTTTGCGAGTGACTTGGGCTTAGGGCCAGTGTACTTGTTCTTGCTGTCGTGAAGGAACGGACAAGGGTCGCCTTTGCAGGCGCCGAACGCCCAAAACATACACGGTGTCTTGGCCTTCTCCTCCGGGGTCATGTTCCTGGCGCTCTTGGCCTGAGCAGATCTGGGCGTCGTGTCACCACCTTTCGGGCTTCGTGGTGTTCCGTTGCCCTTTCCGCTCTTACCGCCTTTACCCTTGCCCTTTGGGGCAGGTGCGCCTGGGACCTCAACCTCGGGTTCGCCCTCGTCTTTCTTTTTCTTCTTCCTCTTTTTCTTCTCCTTCTTCGGCGGCTTGTCGGTAGTGCCTCCTTTCGGTGCGCCTGCGGCAGCACCCGGTGCGGGTGTTGCGGGCACGCTTGGCTTTGAAGGCTGGGAGGTGGAAGTCAAGGTCTCTGGCTTCTGTTGCAAGGACTTATCGAACTCCTGTCGATTGACACGCTGCTGGTGCAAGTCGATTGCAATGTCCACGCGGTTCCACAACCATGCGGCGGTGCGACGGTGTGATCCCGGCCTTGCTTCCCTCGCCTTCTCTACCTTGGGCTTAAGAACTGAAACCTTTTCGAACTCATCGATAAGATGATTGAAGATCGTACTGTCCTTAGGAAGGTCCTCTACAGGAATGGTATTGGCGACGTAGTGATACTTATCACGAAATGCCTCCAGGTGGGAAATACCATCCCCTCCGATCCTAATGTTCAGGAGGTTACGTTCCGCTAACATACCCATACGATCACGTTCCAACTGGAAGTGACTGTATATGGCGCGCAGCATGCAGCGCCCATTGGGCATGCCACCCGACTTAAGCCTTTCAGACTCAACCATCTGCTGAAAAAGCAACCCGAAGCGACCGTGGCGACACACTTTGATAAGCTTGGCGGCGATCTCGCGGTCAAGGCGAGGGAAGCGCCCGTCCTTACAAAGTGCGGCAGGTTCCTTCTTGAGGCAATCTTGTGCCCAGATGTACACCTCATCGCCTGGGGTCTTCTGGAGCTTTCCAATGGCCATCAAAGTCTGATTCACAAACCCCCTCGCTTGCGCTGCGTTTTGTGGCGGGTTTGGGAAGGATAAATCAGAAAGCGACTTCACTCTGATGGTCTCCTCCTCAAGCTCTGCATTGGTCTTTGGAGCCGCCGCGCTTGAAGCTGCGGCCCCATCACCGTCAGGGGCTGGATCATCACCTCCATCTTTGTTGCAGGTGAGCTCTGGGCACTCCTCTTCTGCGTGTTTCTTAGAACCACACATCCTACATGCTGGGTGCTCGGACCTTGCTGAGGAATCAGATGAGGACGATGAGCTGGATGATCCGCCTGATCCTGGTGAGCCTGGGGGCGCTGTGGCTTGAGTGGTGCCTCCTAGGTTCAACGTGGGTACCTGAGGTGGTGGGTCGGACTGTGCTTCTGCTGGTGCGCTTGGGGCTGCACCCGAAGGCGCGGCTGCACTACCAGACTGCGCGGCACTAGCTGCGACCAACTTCGCTAGATCGGAAACCAACTTAGCCAATTCATCAACCCTTTGGTCTACTGAAGTAGGCTGTGGATCTTCGGGAGACCCTGAGCTGGCCTCCCCCCCTGGTGCGCCAGCGGCTGCACCCTCTTGGGGCGCATCGCTCTCACCTGTTGGTTGTGCAACAAGCGGGGTGCTTAAGGTCTCTTGTTCCTCAGGCACTGGTTCAATCACAGGGGTTGTGGGCTGTTGGACCGCATCATTTTGGCTTGTATCCGGGGAGAAAGACATCTCCGGAAAAGAGAGACGGGTTCTTGTGGGGGTTCGCTGCGCTTGGGCGTTGCTACTTTCCACAAACTTGGCAGACAGATCACGGTATCGCTCGGCCATAACGGCCATTGCCTCCTCGTGACGCCGCTGCATCGACTCCATCTCATCTGCTAGCCTCACAATATCAGCGTCACAGCCTGCTCTCGTGCCAAAGTGGCTTGCCGGAGAGCTTCTGATAAACCCCTAGCCTCACCCTCAACTAACCTTATTCTAGCTTGTGCTGAATGGTTGCTTTGGGCTATGGCCTGCTGGGCCTCACCTTGAATCATTGAGACCCGTTGTTGAGCCTCACGAGTGGTGGCGTCGATGGCGGATTGGGCTTCTTGCCTAAGGCTAGCTTCTCGAAACCTAGCATCATCCACGATACCCTGCGCAGCTCGTGCAATCGACTGGGCCTCGTCGCGGTATTGTGCCTCGGCCGCTGCAGCTTGAAAGCTAGCTTGCATTACGGCCTCCCTAGCTTGAGTAACTGTTTGCTGTTCCCTTTCTGCAGCCTGGTGCGCGAGGGACGCAGCACCCAAGGCAACGCCGGAGGCGTGGTGGGCGTGTGTCACGGCAGCACCTGCAAGAAAGGTTGCTTGTGTTGCGCTAAGCTCGGGACCCCTTTGTGGGGGAGACGCCGCGGAGGACGAGCTATACCCCTCATTCCTTTGTGGTGTGGGGGCTGGTTCGCGGATCCTAAGAATGGTTGCTGCGGCCGGGACGAAGGCCTGACCGCTACAAAGCTCTGGGTCGCTAAAGGAGGATTCCCCTGATGTCCGGCTTCGGCTTCGGTCTTCTGATGGTGGGGAGATGCCTGACATGGCTTCACCTCCTGAAGCTTGAGCCTTTGAGCCCAAACAACACCCTGTCTACGAAAACCGCCTATCGGCCGGGACCCGAAAGAATCCCCAAAAGAACCTTAGGGCAAAAGGGAGGGGGCAAGAAAACAGGACCCCTCACGCAACCACTCTCGAAAAGACTTTTGTGACTGGTACGCACGCGGTGGCTGGCCCGTTTGGGCGCCAAGCGTCTCTGAAAGGAGTGTGTGTGCCGACGGCTGTGCGCAAAATGCAGCACACACACGCAAAAGTAACGTACAATACCCCTAAGGACCACCACCCAGCACTAGAACCACAATGCACCCTAGACCTGTTACCCGGCCCGGTGCGCCACAGGCAGCACCCTAGGGCGCTGCGAGAGGAGGTGTTGTGCTGAACCGGCGGCCTTCCAAGAGGCAGGGAGCTGGCGTTTGCAACCCCTATGCTACAAAACCCAAGGCACTAAACCACTGGCCCGGTGCGCTTGGAGCGGCACCCTCGGGCACCGCAAGCTGGCAAGAGGCGGCGGCACGCAGGCTGGAGAAGCCGGCCCGGTGCGCCTAAAGCAGCACCCTAGGGCGCTACTTCTCGTAAAGCAGCTCTCGGGGCTCGAGGTGGCGAGCTTGGGGCAGGTTGTTGCGCCCCCGCCGCTTGATCAGATCGCTCGCCTGGCGGAGCTCGTAGATCAATTGCTCTACCCCTCCGCCCTTCCGAGCCTGTACCGTGAGCACTCCTGTCTTGGAGCACTCCTTGATAATGCCGCGGTTATCGTCGATCACGAGGCTTGCCGGCGGCACTATCTGGCACAGTTGCTGCGCTTTTCCGTCCGGGCCAGTGCGCTGGTACGTTTGCCCAATACTGAGGTTAATGCTCAGGGGCAAAGCGTACCGCAAGCACTCTAGGGCCTCCTTGAGGAAATGGTGGCGGTACCACGGAGCGGAAGAAGGCGTGCTATAACTCAGAATCGCCAATCGCAGTGGTTTGTGTTCCTCGCAGAACTCCTTTAGCGCGGCCACAAATTCAGTATTAAAATACCCGTGGGATCCACGCTTTGTGTCCCAGGTGGCACCTTTGGACTCAATCCAGGCCTTGTCTAGGACGTGGTGCCAGTCGAACACAATAGTGGCCTCGGTGCGCGTAGCAAGCACCCTCTGCGAGGAACTGGCAGCCGCCGCGCTTGAAGCTGCGGCCTCGGCGTTCTCCTCGTCACGCGCCTGCTGCGCCCACGCGTGGTACGCGAGCTTCTGACGATTGCCTGTGACGACCGGCGGTGGAGCCTTTGAACTCGCCTTGGGCTGCTCCTGGCCTCCCCTGCTGATATTGGCCACAAACACGGAGTGAGGCGGACCCTTGAATGCTGCCTTTGCTGCCGGCCCCGTTGGCGCGGGCGGCGCTGGCACAGGGGGCGACTTATACTTAACCCCGTGCCTGTCTGTCGGCGGCACCTTTGAGGGAAGCTTCGGCTGTGGCTGCCGCGCCTTTGGCAGGCTCTCCTTTGTCACCGGTGCGCGTGACCTTGGGGAGTCGCCCTCAGAAGCTGCACCCTCTGGTGAAGAAGATGCGTGCCGCTTGGGTGGCCACGACCCGCTGCGCCCTCGACCCCGGTGCGCCTTTGCAGCACCCTTTGGGGGAGCTGCTTCTGCCCGGCGCGGGGTCCTTGTGCGCTCTCTGGGCCCTGCCTCCTCAACGGCTTCTATGGGCTCTGCCTTTGCACCTCGCCTGGCCTGACCTATGCCTTGTGCTTGCCTCGGCTGTCCTGGGCCTGGCCTTCGGAGGCGGGCGCGGCACCCTCAATGGTGCGCTCCTCGCTGGAGGCTCTCCCTCAGGTGTCCCGGGCCGCCGCCGCCGGCCCAAGGTCGCTGTCTCTTCCACCTCGGCTTCTACGATTTCCCCCTGCCGGAACGGTCGCCTTTGTGGAGGTGCCCTGGGTGTCGCCGGTGCGCCTGAGGCAGCACCCCGCTGCCTGCGTTGTGTCTTCTTCGGAAGAGCTGGTGTCTATGCGCGCTACGGACACACCCCTAGGAACCCCACTAGCTGTGTAGACCTCCCGGTAGGAACTGGGGTCGATCCACGCGTCGTCTGGCAGGTCAAACGGATCGGGTGCACTAAGGGCTTCTTCTGCGTCCCCTTGGTGCGCGGTGCGCTGCACCCCTTGGTGCTCAGCAAAGAGCCAAAGAGCCAACAGCAGTCAACAGGGTTCGTGCGCGCAGGTGCTTACGATGGCTTTTCTTGAGTGAAAAATCGCAGTGCTGCGACAAACAGGAAAACCGTACACAGTTCGCTCTGCGTTCCCAAACCACAGTGTCCGAAATAGACAACAATTACTAATTACCCGTCTGGACAACGCCCGGACGTTTGATCCAGAAACGACACACTCGCAGGGTAATTACTGCACGGGGAAACATTTCATTGCACACCGCTCGTGCCCTAAACCTGTAGAAGCCATACCGCAACACTTACACACTCACACCTTATTCTTTGGACAAACCATGGTCGTGAAACATGTCCAACATCTTGAAAGAGACGTGCTCGCGGTGCACCGTACGCCGTACACAGTAACTGTTGTCTTGGAGCCCTGCGAAACGAGATCAGGGGAAGCATGGGGGAGGGCTTATAGCTTGACTAATTAAGCTCGTCTACACGTCAATATGCCGCGAAGCTTCCATAGAGCCGCAAGATATTCCTGCGCGTGAACGTACAATATGTGTGTTTGAACCCCTGCGTTAGGAGTGAAGCGACGCACGTCTCTTCGTGCGCCAAGTGGGTTCGAGCAGGTCGTAGATCTGACATGTCGGGATCCCGCCAGCAAGCTCAGGACAAGAGTGCGGTACATAATTTCAGCGGTTTTGCGTGCTGCACTGGTGCAGGGGAAGTGCCACGACGCCGCAAGAACCAGAGAGAAACGAGGTCTGCGACAGAGCATGAGAAGACAGTGCAAGAGGCAAGAGAAACAAGAGAGAGAGAGAGAGAGAGAGAGAGAGAGAGAGAGAGAGAGAGAGAGAGAGAGAGACAAACTCTTCGACGGAGTTACTACTACACCGGTACAAGAAAAGCGACAAGAAAGCGCCAAGTAAGCAATGAAAGCTTGGCGACGGAACACCGCTGGCTTACCACTTTGCTGCTGCTGCAACAGATTGTCAGCTCGGGTCAAGACAACATGCCATCAGAGGGTATCAGCGGCAGCCTTCATTGGGAAAGAAATACTTTGCACTTCGAATGTTGTTAACATCTGGGACATGTGCCCAGATGTCGAGCGAATCTCCTATCAAGCAGGCACGGCGGTTTATATGTGTTGCGGGCAGCGCGCCGGTGGTTATCAGCGTGATGCCTCATAATGTGCAGTTGCAACTTGCAACTATTCGGAGCCATTAGTTTCTGCAGAGCTAACAGGGCATGCTTTGGCAGCTTGCCACAGTAAGACGAGCCGAGTTTAATGACCACCTGCGTGGCCCCAAAACTCTAGCTTCAGCACTTTATCAAGCAATTTGCCTCTGTTGTTTTGTCGCGTTAAGTCGCCAATTCAATAGATGAAAATTGCCCACCTTTCGGAAGGCCGGAAGTCCGCTGCTCACCTGAGAATGGATGATGTGATGTTTCCTAACGCAAAATGCTGCCGATTCTGAAACATAAACTAATCGTCATGCCCAACCATGATGCACCAGCACCTAGGCCTCAAGAGGTTCGTCTTCGGCTGGCGCTCCGGCGGATACGATGTCTGATTCCTTACAGGGTATTGGGCGGCTCAGGGTTTGGAGCGTCCACAAAAACACATGAGTTTGCAAACCCAATGGACAACGTGCGTGTGACTGCCCTTCAACTTGGACATTCTGCCCGACTTATGGTTTTACAAACAAAAGTCGGCCACTTTCACTGCTATGCTTTAGCCACGGCGCAGGCATGATAGCCTCCCAATGAGAGAAGGGGCTTGCGTCATGATGGCTTACTATAAAGACTTGCGCCGGTCGGAGGGTTCGCTGGAGACTGCAAAACTTTGGGTTTCCTGGACATCTTGCAAGGATGTTCAAGGGTGTCTCAAGACGGCTCCCCAGGATTACAGGGCTTGAGGGCTTTTTTCAACTAAGGCAGGAGCTTCTGGGCACCCTCAAACAACAATGTAGGGGCACCAGGATGCTTAAAGGCGCTCTTCCAAGACTCCAGGGGCTTCAGGGCCCCAGACAAACTGCAGCTTCAGCTCCTTATAGAGTCCCAGAGACTAAAAAAAAGCTTGCTGCGCGTTTGGCTCTTTGGCTCTGCAAGCGGATGGGAAGGAAACGAAGCATCCCTGCTGAGAGCGGCGGCGCTTATTGCCCCCACACTCTCAGCAAACGTGGGCGTCCACGACTGCTGAGGGCAGGGGGTAAATCCATAACGAGTGCTTGATGAGAGCGGGGGGTTCGCAGGCACGGGTGTTCTGAGCAGGCACTGCCTCTTCCCGAACCCCCACCCCTCAACAGGCGTGGGCGTCCACGACTGATGAGGATACCCCTGCAAGCCACCCCCCCCAAGCCATCAGACCGAGGATTTGCGGAGCAGGTTTTTCTCCCCCAGACTTTCACTTGTGCCGCTTAGCCCGATTTGATCTATCGTAGGGGCTTAGGGCTTAGGGTTTGGATTTCATGTTCCGTATTCTTTCCACTCCACTGGCAAAACCAAACAATCAATCATGCGAGAAGCCTTTCTAGTCCCTGAAAATCATAGTCCCGCTTTTCGGGATCCGCGAAGCCCCTGCAGTCTTTCTGGAAGCTGAACTCCAGGCAGTCCTTTGGGGGCCTTTAAGCCCCTGCAGTCTTCGGCTCTACACTCTGTGAAGGTCCGGGGCGATCGAGGCTCCTGCAGTATATCATGCGCCCTGAAATCCTGTAATCTTGGGGAGCGGCCGAGCCCCCGCACACTGTCCAGGAAGCCCCGAAGCTTTGCAGTTTCTAGCCAACCCTAAAAGATTGCAGGCCTGCGCAGTTTTGATTGAGCCATCAAGCCCCTGCCGTCATGGGGAAGCCATCATG